CTGCTGCGGGGACGGGGCCACACGAGTGTCCCCAGGCAAATCCACAAAGAGGGGGTGTCATCCTTCAGCACCCCGACCCTGGGGAGGCTCAAAAGTACGAAGGGAAAGGCCCATCTGCAGGAACAGCTTCTCAAAATGGGAAGAAATGATGGAAAGAGGAGAGGAGGGAAAGCATCATTTTACTATTCATTGGCTCCTGCAGGAGAGGCAGGCAGCAATTGCTCCCGTAATTAATTAAAGACTGGAATAGAGCTAATGATTTATATGGGCATGGAGGTCCTCTGAGCCCTCTGCAGCGCTGGTCGCCCCAAGATGCTCCATGGGGATGAGCGTGTCCCCTCTGCCCACTCTCCCATGGCCAGTTTGGTGCTTGGACATTTCGATAACACCCCACCAAGGACCCCAAACCTGCAGGGATGGGCAGCCCTTTTATCTGCTGTACAAACCTTTCCAAGGTGGCTTTAAAAGTGTTAAGAACGGACATTTACACCCAACTGCAGCCACCACAGCCGTGAACCAGTAGAGTTGGGGCTGGATCCATGGGATGGGGAGGATGCGAACCAGTAGAGTTGGGGCTGGATCCATGGGATGGGGATGGATGTGAGGACGTGGGATGGGATCTGTGGGACGTTCAGATCTTCAGAGAAAACAGCTGAGCTGCCGCTTCCCGAGCGCGGGGGGGAAACACTGCTGAGTTTGCAGCTTCTAAAACAGGCCAGCGGGGGGAAAAAAAAAAAAAATTAAAAAAAAAAAAAAATTGGCAGGTTTAACTTTGCATCAATTCCCAGCGTATTGTTACATTTTTAAAGTATATAAAACTATTGATCATAAGCAAGGCAATTACTTCTGCACATATTTAAAGGTGTGAGGCAGGCGGTGGGTGAGGAGTCACCACTGAGCCCACCCCTTTTCTCAGGAGGGGGCAAATGCCCTGGGCAGGGACCAGGTTGCTCCAAGCCCCCTCCAACCTGGCCTTGAACCCCTCCAGGGATGTGGCAGCCACAGCTTCTCTGGGCAACCTGGGCCAGGCTCTCACCACCCTCACAGCAAAGAATTTCTTCCTGAGATCTCATCTCAATCTCCCCTTTTTTGGACAATCCCTCCCTTGCCCCGCTGGCCACGCTGCTGGGGATGCAGTCATGGTTATATCATGGAAACTGCCAAGATGGGAACAGTTTTTGGACACCCTACCTAACAAGAGGCTGAAATACAGGCGACCCACAGTTGTACCCCCAGTGCACTGACAAATACTTTCTCTCCAAAGGCTTCAAAAACCAACACAACTGTCATTCCTCTTCCCAATCCCGCTGAAAACACGATGAGAACACCTTCACCTACCTCCAAAACTCCATCATGTTGAGTTGGGCCTTAAAACAGCTTTAATAATCCTGAGACCGAAGCTCAAGGGAAGGTAAAGCATCTTCCCTGGAGCAAAATAACCCCTTAACCTCCCAGTCAGAGACCACCCCCAGCCATCAGGATGATCCTGGTGGAAAATGGGAGCCATGAGGGCATTGGGCTGGGCACAGCCAGTGCAGAAGCTCCTCTGCGGTGACCAAACCTGATCGTACACCATATTTGGGTAGCAAGTTTTGTAGAGAATAAATATCACACTTCAATTTCATGGTAACTTAGGAGGGTTTACTGGCAAATACCATGGCTTTTACATGGTTCTACCAATTACCGAGCAATTACATGTAACCTAGATCTGGAGGACATACAGTAGAGATATAATATATTCCTCCCTGCGTTAGGAAGAAACAGGCAGTTAATAGAAAACACTCTTTTTTTTTTTTTTTTTTTAAATTATAAACCCCTCCGCAATATTCCTGTGTGACATTATTAAAACTCCACATCAATATCAAACCCAAAGCAAAGACCGCCATCCCATTAACACATCAGTTGTGGGATGATCAATAAAAATTTACTTTAAACTGCACCATATGTCGCTCCCCACAAAGTTTTATTATCCAGATTCATCAGTTTGTACCTCAACCCCCGTGCAATTAAACCCCATTTAGCAGCACTGACCTTCTGATATGAACCTGTCATTCCTACAGCTGGTTTGGAGTTTTAACAGCGCTTTTTAAATAATGAAAAACAAAAGGTCTGTGAATTAAGGGTGGGGTACGGGGAGCCCTGGGCCAGGAAAACCATCCCGTGTCGCTGCCGGCGGGAAGGGAAAAAAAGGAGAGGGGAAAAAAAAAAAAAACCAAGAGTGCCAGCACATTTTAACATGTTGTAGCATATTTGTAAACATCGTTAATCACGGATTAGCAGATGGTAATGTTAATTGCACCTGTGGAAGTAACAAGACCTCAAGGTTGATTACATTTACAAAGCGGGATCGGGGCTGCGGCGGCGGAGGATTCCCCAGCGCCGGGGAGGAAGGTGCCCCAGCCACGGGACCACCTCCAGCTTGGTGAAAAGAAGGTGTTTTCTGCCCCAAAGCCCTTCCAGCCTCAGGAAACCTCCCTGGGACCCAGCGAGGGATTTGATGGAACGGGACTTTTCCCAGTCGTGTTGATAATCTGGGCACAAAACCGAAATTTGGGGCATGAGCTGAGCTCCTCTCACAGCCCCTTCTCCCTGGAGTTCATTTTTGAGGGATGAAAAGATTTGGGTTTGCCCTCGGCGGAGGACAGAAAGGCCAAGGCATGGAGTGCATCTGAACCAAGGAGGACAAATATTTTGCCACTGTGCTTAAAGACACTTTGATTATTGAGAAATCATTCTGGAAGGGCAATTACTAAATTTTTAAATCAATTTGGTAAATAAGCCTGTGAAAGGGACTCCATGGCAAGCAGCAGGGAGGGAAGAATTGACTTTCAGATTACACACACACACTTTATTCATATCTAAATATCAAAGAGACTCTATGTACAAACAGAAGTAATCAGGAAGCATGTTTTGATCTTGCTGATGTACACAAAAAATGACAATTAATGTCCTCCTTTATGATATAAAGCTGGGAGTTTTTTACAGTTACATTACAGGGACGATTATAGTCAAGCTTAAGGCTAAAAATAATGAAAGACTATAAAAACTACATTTTAACATTTAAAAATATCCAGGAAATTAACTGGAGAAGCAGGCAATGATCCAATTAATGGATCGCATTTATTAGATCGGGGGCAAATCACACAGCACAAAGCTCCATCTCCAAAGGTGTGAGTGAGCAGAGGTCCCCACGCTCCTCGGGGTCTCAGCCCAGAGCAGGATGGAGCTGGGGCAGGAGGAGAAAGCATCGGCGGCGCCAGATACATCCAAAATTGATGCCAGAGGGACATCCCAGTGAAAAAACAGCAGGGCCAAAATTTGCCACGGAGGGAAATGGGCTAAATGCAAACAGCCGAGCCCTCCGGAGTGGGATTTACTGCACTCACAGGAGCCTGTATTGCAGCTCTCAAGCATAAAAGTCTGAGCTGCAGCCCTGGTTATACACTCAAATCCCTGCCTCTTAAAATTCAAGCCTCACGCAACTCCCAGTAAGCCAAATACTGATACTCCAGTGCCAAATCCAGGTGTTCCAGGGACACAGCGGCTGTTTGGGGAAATCTGTAGGGGAGCCACGGTGGCCTCTGGGCTGATGGACAAGGGATTGAAGGAACTTTGATCTCTGTCACCCCGTCGGCAGAGCTGCTACGGGGACCAAGGTTTCAGAGCTTTTTGGGAGCCTTCCAGAAGTGAAGTAGCTCCTCCATCCTTACTCACCTGCCTCCTCCTCCTCCGAGGGGAGCCGGCGTGGCTCAGCACAGTCTAAAAGTGCCCAGCTTTCCCAAACACACACAAACCCAGTGAAACACTTCATCTTATTAATTACTTCTCAAATAAATAAAAAAAAAAAGGAGAAACTGCAATTCCTATGAAATCTGAAATATATATATATATATACTAACCTATAGGTCTGGAATAAAGAAACGGCTTTATCCTCATCCCTGCTGCTGGAAAGGAAGGATTCAGTCAGCCCCAAGCGCTGAATCTTTTCCCTGAAAAATGAGCAAATCTGAGCCACGGGCACCCTCTGCTGGGGCAGCCACAGCTGCAGGAGCAGCACTGGTCGGGGGGACCTGGCCTGCAGCCTCCCTGGCCCCCAGCCTTTTCATTTCTGAATTAAAAAAAATTTAAAAAAAAGAAAAATAGACACACTCAGCCCACAAAACACAAGAGCTGTCACCCCAGCAGCGCACCAGTTCACCGCTCCTCAGTGACCAGCTCGCTGTCAGACTTGGGCAACAAACTGCTGCTTACACACTAGCCATAATTTTGGAGGGATTTTAATTTTGTCCTTTTCCAATGGAGTGGGTGAAGCTGCAGACACGGCTCAGGACACGTGCCACCACGCCAGGCACCCTCTCCAGAGCAGTGAGTACCCAACACCTTTGAAGAGCTCCATGTCCCCTCCTGTCCCCCCATCCTGGACACTTGGGGTGTCCCCAGCCCCACAGCCCCCCACCACCACAACCAGGCCCTCCCAGGGAGGCATCTGAAAAGCCTCCACATCCACAGACCGGTTTACAGACTTCATTTAGCTCAAAGGAAAGTCCTAATTAGTCACTCTGAGTGATTTACTTGTTCATTTGGAAGGGGGGGAGGGAGGAGACTAAGCTGAATTGTTTGAAATTATCCCTAAAGGGCACTGTAAATTAAGTGTTAATGAGGAATCCTATGCAAAGGGCCACAGTAGCTAAATAAAATAATTAAGGTGCTAAGTGATAACATTCATTTGGTTCTCAATAATTTAGCCAGCCTGGTTTTCAACCAGGATATTTGCAAATGAAGCCACCCTCGCCCCCTCCCATGCCATCAGTGGGGATGGTGGTGCTGGGGCAGCTCAGCATCCAGTAGGATCAGGCCCACCACGGAAAGAAAGAAAACTTCCCTGGAAGGAGAGAACAAGCTCCTGATTCCCCTTCCCACCTGCAGGAAGTGCTCTGTTCCACTAATCACGCTCTGGATTTACGTATGACACAAAAAGGATTGATCTGAGTCTACCACCAATCTTTACAGAGGCTTTATTTCAATGGGCCACGTTTTTCCCCACTACAGCTGTTTTCTAACCGCTCATGTCCATCCTTTGGCGGGGCTCAGACCTGGTTCACAACCAAATACAACACTGTGTGCTTTCAAGACATTCCTGCAGCAGTTTGTAACAACGAAACCGCCTCATGATGAAGAAATTGGTACTGAGTAGTCCCAAGTCATACCTGGTTCTCCCCAGCACCCCCCCAGGCTGCCAAGGGGTTGGTGGGCTCGGGCACGGGGTGGGTTTGGGGACAGCTGCTCTCAGCAGCAGCACCAGCTGAGCACCATCTCTCACCTACAGCCCAAATCCCCTCCAGAGCACAAGCGATGTACAAAGTCCAACAAGCACAAGGCTCACAGCCATCACCGGGTATTTAACTGCAAAAAACTGCAGGATTTGGCTGTCTGCTTTTAAAACCTAGCTTTGTCTCCCTTCCTTACAGCTGCTCCTCCAAGGTGCTGGTGGGAGGTGTCACCTGGTACCTGCAGGTCTCCGACTTTGCCGTTCAGCCAGGGTTTTGGTGGCGTTGTGTGTCAGCCAAAATGTAGCTCAGGTCAATGGGGCTCTGCCCTGGAAGGAACACTTCCACATCCACACCCACAGAGCACGGCCATGAAACGCCAAGCAGCTTCCCCCACCAAATAAAAAAAACCCCATTCAATCACCACGCCTCATTTTCTGGCTGCAGATGGAGTGCAGGAGAATACCTGTAGGAAAGTAAAAATAATTAAAAAAAAAAGAAAAAGATCTTTTTTTTAAACCACAAGAAAATTATTCTGCAGGCCTGGATGTTTGTTTGATTTTTAAATACAAGATTTTGGACTACAACACCTTTGTGCATCAGAACTGTTTTTACCAGTAGCAACGGAGACGTTCAGTGACTCGATGCCGGGGTGAAGCGCTCTGCCAGGGGGTATGGCCAGCATCCGATGGCACAAGAGCTGTGTCTCCAGGGAAAGTCCATCACCTTCACTACCTGCAGAACAAAGACACTGCTCAGGTCACCTCACAACCACTGCCACATCCCTTTTTCCCCTCCCAAATACAGTTCTTGCTAATTCTCTGTCACAACTACACCCAGCCCCTAACCTCACCAGCTCCTGTGCAGCAAGAGCTACCAGAGGTGAGATGGGCACCTTACCTGGCCCACTCCAGTCTCCCCAGATCTCTTCTCCAGCATCTGAAGTGGTTTTGAGGAATACCTGTGCAACACACCTGCAGGCACAGAGCCTTGTAGCCCGAGTGTGATGATCCCCCGCACAAGCAGCCACCGGGCCAGTGGACACCTGCCCACGTACGTGGGCCATGACCAAAGGGACAAGGCAGAGAAGAGGCCACATTTGCTGATCTGGTCCAGCAAATCCCACATCCCTATTGATAGTGACGGGTTCAGCCTTTGCAGCACACAGTACCACCAGCTGGGTGCAACTTGTGAATGCAGACAGTTTAACCAGAGGCTTCAATTGATTAGTTGTTAAACCATCCAACAGCCCTGATATGTTTGGGCTGATACACTGGTGAAACAGAGTTGAAATCTATCCCAGGTCATTAGTAGTTGTTTGACTCACACTGTCACAAAGGGAAATGGAAAGGGAGAGGCTTTAAACAATCCTGCGTGCAGACAAGTGAAAATGCAGAAGACCACAGACCTCCCAGCCGGCTCAGCTCCCCAAAGAATTCTTCCAGATTCATTATTTAGAGCTACAGAGACAGCTACACGGCTGCGAGAACACCCAGCTCATTCCTAAAACGTGCTCACCCTTTGATAAAACAGGCTCAGGTTGCTGGAAACGAAATGTTCCCCTTCAGCAGCCATACCCTGATCCCAGACTCGTCCCGGGGTGGCTCTAAGGGAGCAAACGTTGCTACTGCACCTCTGCCTGCACGACCAGTGCTGTTGTGGAGGCCTTGCTCAAGCTTACCTAAATTTAGACCCTTACCTGAAGTTTTACCAGCCTACAGGGGCACTTCAGGCACTGCCTATGCCACTGGAGACTCATCCCTCCACAAGGTTCAACGAGCTCTTTGCTGGGCTGAGATGCCACAAAAATTCTTCCCCTGTTGTCTACTTACAGCAGGTCCCGTGCCCTGTCCCTGTGGATTGATCTGTGCAACACCCCTCCAACCACACAGCGCAGTGCTGTTAGTCCCTTTGGAATAATTCCCTGGAATTAGAGGCAATTCCCTGGAAGCTGAGGCCCAGTCTCATCTTTTGCTGGCCTGATGTAACTGGCAAGCGAAAGATTGCTCTGGGTAATGCACTTTGCATCGCCTTCCCCCAGGAAATAAGCCACACTGGCAAAAGCATCCTTTGGCTGGGGAACCAGAGAACCAAAATCCCATCCTAACCATTCTTTTCTTCCTTCTTTTTTAAAGCCAGAAGTGCAGACAAGACCCAGGTGAGGTATCCAAAGTCACAGGGGAAGCCTGGGCGACACAAGGAATCAGATCCAGGCCTCCCACGGCCCGACCTGCCTCTTTGTCACTAGACCATGGCTCTCTAGGGATGCTTCAAGAAAAAAATAAAATTATCCTACTTTTTCCTGATTCAACACAGAAAAGTTTTACAATTTGCAGCCATATTTGTCTCCTGAGCCTCTTCAAACCACACTCTCGTGGGACTCTCCAACTGGGACAGCAGCTATCGCCAGAGGTACGATGGCTCCTGGAGCAATCCTCTCCTCTCCCTCATAAGGGTCTTACGATTCCTAATAAAGGCAGCAATTTTGCTTCCAGCTTTTACAAAGCTTTTTATGGCTCTGGCTGCTTAAAATAATTAGGAACCATAAATTCAGGGCAAAAAGACTTGCACAGAGTGCGACACGAGGGAGGGAGTATTGACTGAATCAGAATAAATCCTAATTTATACTGGTGAACAAAACACTTCCCACTTCCCATCTTTGACTTCCATCTCTTAACTTTTTCCCTGCACTGACAGGCCTCAAAGACCAGAATTAGAGCTCGGCTGAAACGATAAAACAGGTTTCCTGCCCCGTTTACAATAAACACCACTGTAGCAACTGCAGTTTCCAGTGAAGGAAGTTCAAATCCAGGCTGGAGCTGCCGTGCTGGCAGTTCAGAGAAGTGTATAAAATGAGCAGCTCAGTAAAACCACCGATTCCATGAACAGCCTTAAAGGCCAAGCTAAAGGCTGAATGTGTAAGAAGAACAAATTACGCAGAAACTCTTCTTGCTCAGACATCTCAGTGCTCCCAATCTGTTCCTGTCCACACAAGGCTCCCAGCCCTCGGGGCAGCCAGGCTGCCCATCACCTTCAGCAGTGACTCTGGTGCAGACAACATTAACCTGGACTGTCCAAATCCCTCTCTGCCGAGCCCAGGAGGATGCCAGGAGGGTGAATTGAAGTTCTGCAAATGCTTAACTTACAAGACAATCTCTGCAATGCTAGAAAGCTCACTACCATGCTAAATTATCTCTGCTGCTCTCTGGTTGCGGCTGCAGGTACGCTACATATTCAGATCTAGGACGTTTCTTCAAACAACCTCAGCATCGGATGACTGTAATGTTCAATTTTCTTTTCAGCGAAGAGTTAGTGCTCAGCAGAGAGTTGAAATCATTACTGCTGCAAGGTCCGGGAGCTCTCCTCATGCATCTACCAATCAGCCTCCAATCTCCCTTGACAAAAGGATATTTGGACTTTTTCCTGGAGAAATCTCTCATAATTCAAGGTAACGACACCACTGCCACTTTCACCCCCTTCCTTCCTCCTGGTGTTGTCGTCGTTTCTGGGATGCATTTCTTTGTGGTCCATCAGCAGGGCTGCCAGCCTCCCTACTCCCTTTATAATATAGCTCCACACATCTTGTAGAGATGCCAGATTTGCGGTGTTGTCTTGTCAGTATTTCTAGGAGTTCAATAAACATTTTAATTAAAGGAATGTCTTCTGAGCCAAGAAAACCGCAGCACGGGGGCAGGATTACAGCCCCTTGATGGCTCATCGCCAGCATGACACTACTTCCAAGTGTAAAAGCTCAAACCAGCTCTTGTGACAGGTGACACAAAGTGAGGGGCTAGACCATGGCCACAGACAGGTGCCTAGAGCAGGTGAATTTCTTTCTCTAGCTACCACGAGGCTGTTACTCCCTTCCCCCTTCTTCACCTTCTGGGAGGCTCCAGAGCCCCAAACTCTGCCTAAAAAAGACAGCATCCTCTGCAAGTGTCCCCTCCAGAGAGAGGGGGGAGAAGTAGAGAGGGCCCTGGAAGAATCACCTAGTTTAGGTGCTCAGGAAAGTGGCACTCATTGCTCAAAGAGCGCACAGCTCTGGTGGGAGGAGGTTCCATCTGCTCCTCCTGCTGATCCTGCAGCAGCCAACAGCCCCTGCCTTCTCCTAGGCCAACAAAAGCAGCCACTGACTGGTCTCCGTGGTGGTCTCTGTGCTACAAAGCCCAGCTTTGTGTTCAGACCATCCCCAGCAAGCGCTCCTCATGCTTCTTTCCAGACCTGAGCACAGAGATTTCTTCCTGTTCTTTTAAGAGAAAACATGACGGATCAAAGACACGGCACAGCTCGTCCTGGCAGCCTCAGCACAGCAAGAGCAAACACGTACCTCCTGGGTCTCTCATGGAGGTTTGTGGTGCACCAACACAGAAAATCCAGGTCCAGGGCTCTAGGACAGGATCAAAAGGGCCGCAGAACACAATGCAAAACAACTCGCTGTGGCTGCACTGACCCAGACCTGTCCTGCCACTGGCCACTGCCACCTAGACCCTCTGCAGCTCCTAAACTCCCTGTTTATTCTTGACAGGTCCTACTGGGAGGCTTCTTGTCTCCCCCTCTTCTTCTGGGTCCCTATTTGCAGCCAGATCATTCTAGTACTTCTTGCTCAGCTTTTCTTTTCCAGACCAAAGCTTGATGTAACGTAACACACCTGCAACCAGCTTGGGAGTGAAACATCACCCTGACCCTTCCACCCTTCCCTCACACACCTGCCCTTCCACCAAGCCCAAAGCTCTGGAAATTGAAATACCTATTACTATAATGACGGGTTTATTCCACTGAAATTCCAAGCAACTGATGACAGGAACATTTTCCACATCCTCAGGTGTGCTGACAGTTCCCACCACTTCCCAGCCTTCTGCGGTTTTAGCCTAGAAAGGGAAAGGAAAAAGAAAATGTTAAAAAATTGACTACTTTTCAAGCTTAAAAAGCAAGTAAGTCATGTCTGTAAACACACTTCTTTTTTTTAACATTTTCTGTTAAACTGACGGGCTTTTCTGGGGTTTTCTGGCATTCCTTGAATTTTTACCACCAAAGTCCTCCCAGTACCAGCACACAAACCTTGATTTTAGAAGAAAAAAAAAAAAAAAAAAGTAATTTTCTTTCTGATGTTTATTCCAGTTCAGCAAGCAAACAAACAGCAACTGAAAAGGTTTTTATTTTGCCCATACAACGGTTCTGGGAAGGTTTTTGCCAGGAAAGGATACAAAAAGAGTAGTGTTAAGCAAATTAACATAAGGCTAATCCACAGAGCAATGCAGTAGAAGGTCTCAAGTGCAGGCTCAGCCACCAGAAGCCCACAGTAACGTTTTCAAACACCGGTGCCAAAAATCAGCTCATACAAAAGGCAGGGCACTCAGCACTCAGTGCCTCGCACAACCAGAGAACGAGCCTTCCCTCCCGCACCCTAGTAAAAAGAGCCTTAATTATTTGTCTTGGAAATCCATTTTAACAATAAAAGAACTGCTGCTCCTTGCCAGCTTCATTTCCTGTGAAACTGGCACTTTCTACATTACTTTATATCAAATTTACACCAGCCAGGCAATGCCAAGGGTTAGGCCAGTGAATCCGGGTCCAATTAAATGAACTGCTGCAATGGCTCAAAATGTTAATAATTCAGGCTTTACAGTAACAAAGTGATTCTACCAGCTGTTTCAATTAAATATCAATATATTTTATGCGACTTTCATTTCACCGTTATCCAGAGCTCCAGCTGCCACAGACCTATTGTACAGCTGGACAAGGGTTTTCTAGCACACCAAGTGGGAAGTGTCCAGGCTCTTACCTCCGCTCGCCCTCCTCGTGGTCACCCCAGACTGTGACAAGCTCTTCCTCAAAGGGACACAGGCACACAGTGACCCCAGACCGGGTGCCTCCATTCCCCTCTGCCCTCCCCCCCTGTGCTGAACCCTCCAACCCCACTGCTCACCCAGGGACCCCACAGGAACAGAGCAGGGCAGATGAGAGCCTGCAGCTCCCTGCTTGCCCACACACACAATATTCAGCTGGTTCCCAGCCCAGCCAGGGCACAGGGGACCTTCCACAAGGGATCAGGGCAGTCATACAGCGCTATCACAAGGGGATGGATGAACTCTGCCAATTCAAAGCAACATCCCTGGGTTTGTTTCAGTTTAAACCACGTTTCTCCACGCGCGCTCCCTTTCCTTTTGCAGCACATTCTGCAAAGGGCCCCTATCTCAGCTCACTGCATAAGTGGAGAGTAAAAAGATTCCCAGCAGCTCACACCAGCCCTGGTTTCTCCTCTCCCCTGCTCCAAAGGCTGCCCAATGCTGCCATCGTGTGCCTGGGCCCTGGGATGCTGCCTCCACCACACGCCAGGCAAGACCTGCTGCAGGAGCAGCTCTGGCTTCAGTCCTCATGGAGAGAGAAAGAAAGAGAGACAGAGGCCATCCTCACCAAGCTCACAGCCTGAGTACGGGACACAGTGTTCTCCTGCCTTCACCGCCTTCCAAAAAGGACCCACAACTCAGACCTGTCACCCCACCCCATGGAATGGGACTGGGGGTGCACACCCCAAAGAGGTGGTCCAACAGCACAGAGCACCGGCGGCAAACAGGAACACAGAGCAGGAGCACCAAACACTGCAAATAACTGAGTGTTTTTCCTGTACCTCCTCTCTGTTGAATACATGCAATATTTCAGGTTTCCTGAAAGGAAAATGAAAAAAAAAAAAAAAGAAAAAAAAAGAAAACATGGATCATTCTACCTTCAAAAAGCTCCGGAGATCATCTGTGCTGTAGACATCGAAGACTTCCATAGCTCCAGAGCTTGCTTTGCTCACTGTGGGAGTCAAGGGGCAGCTGCAAGGAAAATCAAAAAGGAAAAGTGTCGTATGACAGCAAAAAAAAAGGAAATACAGGAGAATTTTCATTTCTGTATTTCTTTCTCCTGCCTCCACCACCCAATTCCTACTAGTCCACCAAGGATCTCACTCGCTATATGGATATATTTTCCTATGGAGACTAGGAGGGCTCAAAAATTAACCTAGAAATAGGTTGTAGCAGTTTTTTGCACAAACAGAAAACTGAAACGCAAAATGGGTTAAAACAAAAAAGTACCCAGGGAGGTTCCTTACCAGCCTGGAGTATCATGCTCCCTGAGGAGCACAAAGCAAAGCAGCAGTGAGCCAAATTCAGATCTCTCAGAAAACCCTTTAAAGCAGCCATCAAGCAACATAGGCTAGAAACCTCTTTGGGAGCCAGGAGGAAGAGAAAAAGAGAACAGCTGAAGGAGCAGATAACCGACCCCATACCTGTTCCTCTGGCTTGTCACCACTCTGTCCACCCCCAAGAAGTAGGCAGTGCGCAGCAATGCCCCCAGGTTCATGGGATCCTGAATCTGCTCCAACACCAGCCAAATCAGCTGTCGGTTTGGACTCTCTTCATCCCCCAAATCAGGCTTTTCGGCTTCCTCCAAACTCTTGAAACCGAGAGGAGTGGCCTCCAAACAAACTCCCTGGTGGACCTGACCTCGGCAAAGAGCATCCAGCTCTCTCCTTCTGACATGGTGCACGGGGACTCCTCGGGCCGTGGCCTGAAGGACAAACTCACTCATAACAAGCCGCCGAGAGCCGCTGCTCTCCTTGAGGAACAACCTGAAGAGGTTCCTCCTGGACTGGGAGAGGGCCAGGGAACAGGGTGCGATCCCAAATAAGATCTCTGAGCCTTTAGTCCTCTCCATGGACAGAGCCTTCCGTTCAGGGCTCTTCCTTGCCTTCAAGAAGTCACCCTCTCGCCAGCTCCACGACTCCCTGGGGGCTGGCACAGCCTGCCTGGCCCTGCTCTCCTGTGCCCTGTGCCACGGCCGGCTCCGTGGGGCCAGACCCCCACGGGAGACACAAGGCTGGGTCACGGCCCCATCACCCTGCGGGAGGGCTAGCGGGGGAAGGCAACCACCGCCATCCCCACCCCGGGGCGGCCCTTCCCCGTCCCCACGCGTGGCTGTCGGTGCGAAGCTCGGGGGCCCCTGCTCCCGCGTGGAGCAGCGTCTCACTCCCCACCACCGACAGCCGTGGCGGGCGGGCCACAGCCCCACGGCCTTCCACAGGCCGGGCCTGAGCGCCTGCTCCATTGGCGGAGCCCCGCGGGCCTTTCCACGCAGGCCTCAGGAGCTGACAGGAGGCGGCCCCACGAGGGGGGGGGGGGGGGCGGGGGG